TTTCCGAGCGTAGGTCGCGCCACAGGATGTATAAAAATGGCAAGACCCTAATCAGGAACCTCCTTCCTGATTCAGTCATCTTTTTCCACTTGAGGAATGGCTTCTTCGTCATCACTACTGCTGACTTTTTCACCAAATAAAGTCTGCTCGGAGACCGAAGTAGAATCCTAAAAGACAAACGTAACAAGAACAACCTCACAAAATTGGAAGTTATAGGAAATGTGAATGAAAGGAAAGAAACGGATAGAGGAAAGAAAACATGCTTGAGCAGTAGCAGATATACATGCTTGTGCGTTCATCGGCAGGTTAAAAACCTTTCGTTTCTCGTCAGCAGGAACAATTTCCCATCGAAATGAGTCAGCTTCCAAATCAGCACGAAGAAGTCGTTTGAGCTCTCTTTCAACCTGAAATATGATTAGTCAATGTTTTTATGTAATCATTTGTCAAACAAAGTTTACGTGAGAAGCCGATTAGTAGCCTAACATCTCATCAATCTCGCCTTCAGGGACTCAAGGTAAGGCAAAATTAGTGATCTATCCAACCAAACGCTCCGAAATTTTAGCTAGTGCGGCAGTGTCAATAAGCTATCAAACAACTTATCAACAACTGTAGATCTATGTCGGTAGCTAAAAGTTGAGTCTGTTCGGGTAAAAAGTTGATCACCAACCTAGCCCCCTTAGGCCTGAAAGCATTGATTCGGCTAATCGTTAGTCCACTAGTGAAGCTTCATTGCAAAGACCATATTAGCAATGATCATCAAATTGAAATACACAGTATTGCCGAGGTTAAAAGAAAAGAGGAGATGCAGATCAAAATACAGTATGATGAAGAAACAAAAAATCTATGTGAACAAAAATTACTTCGGGTGCTTCCATATATTTCTTTTTCTTAGTTTTTCGAAAACGCCGCTGTCGTACACTCTTCATTGGCGGCGTTAGACCATGAGGATATTGCCACTGTTTCATTTCCTAAAAAATAAAAGAGAGAATCACAAACATTATTACCATGAGATAATAGCCAGCAAAATTCGCTTATCATTATATAAAGTAT